CATCACTTTTATTTTTACACTAGGTAATTTGGCCGCGCTACGCGCGGTGATAAAATATTATATCAAAGGTATAAATTAATCGTCTCATATTTTTTGAATATAAAAGAATTTTTAGTTCAAATTCTTCTTTTTAGTTCAAATTCAATTAAATAGATCAAAATTCATATTTGAATTCATCTTATTATTCACACTGAACTAATTTTTTACAAATAAAATATACTATTACATGAAGGAAAGTAAAGTACTTTAAAAATAATGAAAAACAAAGTTGATCATTTTGTGTAATTTACACACAATACATATGTGGAACATCGTAGATTGAAGATAGAGAACTATTTTTAAAATTTTATATTTTAAATTTGTTTTTCTTCGATTATACTTAAAAAGATACTTAATAACATAACGTTTATAATGTGAAACTAATAATACTAAAAAAGAACGAAATTCAACCGATAATAACATGAATAGCTCAAATAGATCGTAAGAAGTGTAAAAATTATTTGATAAAATATGGAAATTATAATGTCTAAAACGTAAAAATGAGCATATGTAAGTTATGCTAAATTTAAATTGAAGTAAAAATATGTTGTAGTGTAGATTTAGTACTTAATACTCTTTGTCAATGTCCGTTATTTAACTTGAAATAAGAAACGTTTAGGTGCCTCATTGGCTCTTTAACTTATGTCTTAGCAGTTATGTGAGAAAGACTTTAAGAAAGAATTAAGAAAAACACTATTTCAAATATGAAATAAAAAGAATAATCTCGAGCAAGAGTTTCATGAAATAAAAAAATTATGGATTTATATAGACAAAAATGAAGGAATCTTTAAAGAAAATATAAATATTTCTTTGTGCAATAGTATTTTTAAACTTTTATTAGTAGTCTGTATTATTATACACAAAGTAACAATAACTAATTGCATCTAAACAAAAATACAATCTTGCAATAATAAAATATTATAAAGATTCAAACTAAGGAAGTTACATAGAGAAAACACAAACAAACACATCTTCATTGGGACCTTATCATAAGAAAATAGATAAAAATAAGAATACAGAATCAGTGCCCACTTTTTTGAGCTCTTGTTCGGCACCCTCTTTGACAAACTAATCAACATTCAAGAGTCATCTTCACCATGTAAAGTTAAAACATGAATTTTATAATATTATAATAATATTACAAAAAACAATGAAATATAAAAAATAACTTTGAGTTGGGATTTCATGAAACAAAAAACTTGTGAATTTATATTGATAAAAATGGAGAGAAATCATAAAGTATCTTAAATTTTATAATTTAATAGTTGGAGGTTATAAATATGAAAACTTAAAAGTCATGAAATTAATGATATTATTAAGAATAGAAGTTTAATAGATTAAAGTTATGGAGGTGAAACTTAAAAATTAAATAAAGAAGATTAAGAAATAAATCTATATTATATAAAGATATAAATTTCTTGAATTGAATAAATAATAAAAAGAAGTAAAATAAAGAACAAAAAAAAGGAAAAGACTATAAAATAAATAGATAAAACCCATAAAATTTAACTTTCGTGAATAATTTGTTGGAATTCTTTTTAAATCAAATGAAAAGGTTTGTAATAATTGATGAGAAATTAATAAATATTATAGGAAAAGAGAATAATAACATTCATGACAAAATAAATTAAATATGGCCATTGATGAAGATATAATTAAATATGAATATCTTTAATGTTAATTAAATTTGTAGGTGTATTTTTTTGTATTTTAAAATTAAAAAAAGGCCAAAAAACCCCCAAAAAAATAAATAGGATTGACGCTCTTAGAGAGCATCACCTCACCGTTTTCATATTCAGCTTTATTATTATACTAGTGAAAGTATCCACGCTTCGCGCGGTTATATGAAATATTTATAAGATAATAATATGTAATAATTATATTTAGGTTAATATCGAATATATATATAAATAATATTAATATTTCTCTTCATCTGCTATATCATACGTTTTTTTTCATTTTTTTTAAACATATAAAATATAATGTATTTTTTTGTATATGTATATAGTAGAACAAAATATTCATTGTGGTGAAGTAAATGGAAAAGAGGTAATATGTTGAAATAACAATATATTGTATTACGTTGTAAATATTTTATATGTTTTAATTTCCTCTATCTTTTATAAGAGTACTAATTCTCTATACAAACTCTGATTTCGTAAAAACAAAATTGAAATTTTTATTATGTCTTTATTATTACATTTATTTATTATAATATTTTAAACATTAATTAAATATTATTAAGAATTATGAAAAATGAAACATACAATAGTTATGAATAATATTTAATATTAGAAGTTACAAGTAAGATGAAGAGACATGAGTTATAAATAATTTAAATGTATAATTTTATTAGACATTAAATGTATTACTAATTACGCATTGATTTTATTTGTAAAATAAATAAATAAAAATAAGGGGTGAAAAATACCAAAAATGAACAAAGAAAATATAATAAGCGGTGACTGCATAAAAATTATAATTACATTTCAAACCAAAAAGGATGATGACAAAAACAGATTGTTACATACGCAAAAAAAAAAAAATGGCATCATGAAACTAATATTTTATTTTTCAATTACTTTTTTTGCAAGTATAATAAAAATGAAACTCCTAATCATCATAGTTTTTTGTTGCTGAAATATGACAATTATATTAATTTTGCTTCATAACAAAGAAAAAGTAGAATAGTAAAGGATCAAATGATTAGCGTTGACAATACATTTAGCTAAATGATTTATACAAACCAAAATTTAAAAAATTCTATCAAAAGTAACTAAGTTACTAATACAAGTCAAAGTGAAAAAAAAAATCTAGCAAAATAATCTCTAATTATGCTTCATTTTTTTTCCTTCTACCATCTTCCTTTGCAAGTAGATTCGCCACCATATTTTACTCCATATGTCAAACTCTTCATTATGCGACCAACTGAGTGAAAAAATATCATATGCCAATTAAAAATAATTATATCAAAAGAAAGAAAGAAATTTAAACTATATGTAATATATTTATATTTTTTTAAAATAGTACTAACAATACTAAATAATAATCTTTTCTTGAAATCAAACAAATATTATAATCAAACTATGTTATATCCGAAAAATTAACTATTAGAAAGAGCAATTGCACAGACAACACATTGTTAAGAATTACAGAGGCATTTTTTTTAATCATACTTGCTTAATGAATGATAATACAAACATAAATAAAATATTAAGAAAACATGTCTAAGTACATAAAAATAAAGAGAAAGACTTGAGAATAAAATATAGCTTACCTTCATGTACTTCTTTTTTGTTACTTGTTAGTTAATTCACAAACAAATGTGATGAAGAAGAGAAATTATAATTTTGTATGTGAATCTTCATGAAAATAAATATGAATTTATATATACAAAATAGAGGAAATGAAAAAAAATAAAGATTTGCAATGAAATATTTCTTACCTTCATGTACTTATGTTTTGTTACAAACCAAACAAATATGATAAAGAAGAGAAAAGATAATTTTGAATGTGAATCTTCATGAAACTAATATGAATTTATAGGCAAAATAGAGGAATACCATAAGACATCATAAACTTACAAAATTTAAGTTTGGAGGTTATGGACATAAAAATTATGGGAGTTATGAATATTATTAAGAGTAAAAATTAAAGAAGGGCAAGTCATGAGTAATAACTCCTTGTGAATAAATTAAAAAAATAAAGAGAAAAATACTTTAAAAAAATATTATCATTTCATGATTAGAAGTGAGACAAACAAATAGAAAAAAGAATGTGGAGAATTTTTTTTTATGTTAATGTTCCTACATTAATAAATATTTATTTATAATAAATTAAGTAATTTACTTTTACAATACAATAATTAATATATATATAATAATAATAATTAATTTATTATTATTAACTCATGAGATATAATAAGATGCAACAAATATATATATATATATTTTTATTTTATTTTATTTTATTTTATAATTAAACAAATTAATATGAAAATAATGAAAGGAATTTTTTTTTAAAAAAAAAAGGGAAGACTAAAGATAAATAATATTCTAGGCCATAAAGAGGTGCCATAATAAATTAATATGGTTGTTATAAAATTTAATGAAACTTAATAAATAGGATAGAATGTGATTAGTTCTTTGATTCAAAAAAAAAGAAAAAATAGAGAAAAATGTCAAAAAAATGAGAAAAAAGATAAATAGCAATGGTGGCCTTAGAGAGGTGCCACATCATCCTTGCCTACATTTGGCTTTATATTATATATAGATTATTATCATATTATTTTTATAAGCTAAAGCGTCAATCTATAAATTTTTAAAATTTTCAATCAAAAAATTATCTATCATCTATTTTATATAAATCGTCAGTATAAATAATTATCCCATATTTAATCTACCTTCCGAATCAATAGAAGAAGGTATTAAATTACTTTTAAGAATTTTTTGTTAATAATTAGTTTTATTCTTTTTGAATAAATCACAATCATTAAAGTAATATAGTAGAAGAGGCCTATAGAAGAAAATAATTGACTTTTTTTCCCTTTCTATTTCTAATTTTAGTATAAAGAAAGAGTAGAAACTAGGAATACACTAGAAGATTTGCTTAAAGATTTTTTTTTTTTTCGAGAAACATATAAAGGAACTTGTCTTTCGAGTTTTAGATTAGATTGGTTTCATCATTATGATTCTCCCATCTAGATTAATCACTTGAGTATGCATTCAGTCGGTAAAATGAATAAAAAACACACATCCATCTTACATTATTTCAAATATATATAAAACTTTAAAAGAGAAATTTTCTTATTTAATTATTCATATATGTAGGAATAAGACAACCTATAGGACCACCTTCCATTCATGAACCCTATCTTGTTGTCTAGAACTTTTTGAATGAACTAACCATTGAGCTAATTTTGAAAGTTCACATCAAACATCATTGTCACAAGAACAGAGAGGAAGGCAAAATTTGCTAATACTAATAATATAATATAATTGTTGTGATCATTTGTCATTGGAATCTTTATTAGAAGAAGAATCCAACATTATATTATGGATTCTTTGTCTTGTCATCTCCAATTCATCATGTATTGATGATGATATTTTTGCTTCTCCCCTTTTTTTGTTGTATGCCTCAAAGAACTCTTTGTTTTCTTTCTCCAATCCCTTCCACACTACATAAAATTTCATTATTCAAGTTAAATGTATACATAACTCTCCGATCTATTTTATTTTATGTGACACTTTTACTTATCAAATTATATCACAATCATAATATTAAAGCTTAATGTTATATGGGATAGATTAAAATTAAATTTTAGTCATGAACTAAATAATACCACAAAGGGTACCAAGGGATGGACACAATTTCTATATTCTTAGTTAAATATCTTGAATTCAAGTCAGGAGTAAAAAGATATCCTACAAGAAACACTTTTTCTACTAACAGCCTTATGTGGTGCGAATTTTATTATCTCACTACCAAATACTAACACTAAAATATATATTATATAGCATTGATAACTATTTCTCAGTCCCAAATAAGTCAAGATCAACTATATGTGACTTTCATTTTATTATTTAAGCTAATATCACAACCATCATAATTAATAAATAAAATAAAATAAAAAGATGTTAAAAATATATAGGAGTATAATAAATAATACTAATAACAATAAAAGTTTCATACGAGTTTAAAAACTATCCTCAACTAGCTAGTAGGTATCATCTAATTTATATTGTTATTATATGCCTACCCCCTACCCTGTAAAATCTAAGTATTTACACGATATCACAATTAATATCAACACATCTGAAATCGTCCTCCCAAACCCCCCCAACCCCACACATCGAAAAAAGGCAAAGAAGAGTGACAAAGTGGACTAGTTAATTACCTGTGGAAGTGATAATAGGCTGGATATTTGCATGTTTGGAGAGTGCATCCATGCATTCTTCTTGGCTCATGTTGAATATTATACATTCTTCTATCAAATGTTGCACCTACATCACCACCACCACTTTCTTCATTACTATATAATAAAAATAATAAAAAACCTTCTATATACGATATATCGTATAGTAAAAAATATTTACACAATCATATCAGTTAAAAGATAACTTAAATCGATCTAAAAATCTGTTACACGATCAGTATATATAACTTAAATCGATCTAAAAATGAAAGTATTGCAAGAAAAGATGTTAACTAAAATACTTACCATGTGGATGTATTGAGAAGAAGAATCACCCATTTCTCTATATCTTGCACAAGATCAAATTGTTTTTTTTTCTTTTCTTTTCATAAACATTAAGAGTAGAAAATAATTACTAGAAAGAACCCTAGTTAATTAATTAAATTAAGAAGGGGAAGAATTTAAAGGATAAGCATTTGAGTAGAAAATATGAGAAAAAGATGGAGAGAAGCACAAAACATAAATGGAAAGTTAGGCATATGTTAGTGACTGCACAATATATATATATATATATATATATATATATATATATATATATATATATATGGAAATATCTTTTATTGGAGAAATTCAAAATTATACTCTCCGTTCAAAATAAAATTCATTGTCGTCCCAATTTAAGTGATATTTTTCACATTTCAAAAGTCAAACGAGTGTTTTTAATTATAACCTTTTCAAATATATTAGTAAAGTTTTTATATCTGAATGCATAGTCAAAATTATTAATTAAAAAAAAAACTCTCAAAATTTAAACGATACCAATTACAATACCAATAATAAAAAGAATTTTAATAACTCAATTATTTAAATACCTAAATTTTCACCTAATTAGAAAAAAAGTTGGATTCTCCACCTATAACTATTTTAAACCAAAAGAAGAAGATGTAATCTTATAAATAGAATTTAAATAAATGAATGATATATAAGAAAATATTTTCATGGCAAAAGAGGGTATAAATGAAATAAATGGAAGTGGAGTATCATTCATTGTATAGTGAGTATTAAATTACAACAATAATAATACATTGGAATACTAATTTAAGGGTGATGTCATTCTCTTGTTATGGGGACTCAATAGCCCACGTGGTACAAAACCTACGATTGGCTGCCATGGATTACACCGGATTATTTCGGGATTCGAAGTCTGTATTGGAGTTTTGATTGTGCACGACAAGGCTTATTCGGGGTGATTGTCATGGGATTACACCATTTTCCCCCTATTTTATGTTTAGTTTTTTTTATCGATATACTCCCTCTGTCCTTATTTAGTTGTCCATATTTCTCTTTTTAGTTGTCCCTATTTAGTTGTTCATTTTGACAAATCAAGAAAGGACAACAATTTTTTTCCTATACCCTTATTTAAAGTGAAAAGTTGTCATAAATAAAGTAAATAAACTTATGAACTTTCCAGCATTGATTAGTTATCTTGAGTGAATTTATTTTGGAAGTAAATTGTACTATAAGGGTAAAATTGTAACTTTACTATGATAATCATTGTTGCCTTAATCTGTGTATCATTTCTAAAGTGGACAACTAAATAGGGACGGAGGGAGTAATATATAAATATGTCTTTTAATTTGCTTCGATTGATATTTATACTTTCCAATTTTGGATGTACATAAGTATAGATATAAATATGTCTTTTAATTTGCTTCGGTTGATATTTATATTCTCCAATTTTGAGTGTACATAAGCATAAACATTTAAATTTGTATAAAATTAAAGAAATAAACGCATTCGTCGTACGGGACATACTATATGAAAATTTGTGTTGGTGTCTTATGTGTATTATGACACGTTAGACATGTGTGTCTACTTGTTAAATTTTATACAAGTTTAAGTATCTACTTGTGTATACCAAAAGTTAAATGACATATATATCAACTAAATCCAAATGAAAGAGCATATTTATGTATTTTGTTTTTCTTTTATTTACGCCTTTGTAGTAAACAGTTTGATATATATATATATATTATGTTCGTACGCAACTTTAATTTTTAAAAATTAATATGTTATAGCGATAAATTTGATTTCTAAAAAGTAAAATATTAAGGATCAGCCAATTTGAAAGAAAAAATAGAGAAAATACATTTTAAAAAAAACACCCTGAACTTGGCACGAAAACTTACTTTAGTACTTAAACTTTACGGGTAATTATTTACCCCCCTTAACATATTTGAAGTGAATTAATATCACTCTAAAAATATAATATCAGTCTCAAGTTGGCAAGTGTATTACACACGCGCCACGTCATTGACACATTAGAAGCACGTAAGCGCCATGTCATAGCCACATTGGAAATTCTCTAAAAAATTGATTTTTGATTTTTTAAATTCATTTCTTTCTTTCCATTTCAGAATATTTAAATACTAGTTAATCTTTAGTTCTTAATTAGTTTAAGAAATATTGAAATCATTAGCAGTGATTTTTTTTCAATACTCAACGTCATTTACTGCCATGTCGATTGTCGGTGTTCTTCATTTTTTTATTTTTATATACTAATCAAGGTCTAATTCTTAACTAATTCAAGAAAAAACACATTTATTTGTAGTTATTTTTTTTTAAAAAAAAAAACACTTTCTCTACCCAGTGGTTCAATCGCCATTGCCAACCATTAACATTATAGATCGGTTAACAAAACCTCATCTTCTTTTATGTCAAAGTCTTTATTTTTCAAAAAACTTCATAACTTTTTAAGAAAGATCAAATCTCCAAAGTAAAGAGTAAAAAAATTATGTGGGTCTTGAATGTGATTCTTTTTGTTTATGTGTTTAACGAGAAAATGTACTTTGAATGTAGAGTTTGAAGAAGGAGAAAGAGGATGGGGTGGGGTGGGGATAGGGTGGTGGGGAGTTTGAGGAAGAAAAGACAAGCAGGTAAAGGGGGTAGGTGGGGTTTCAAGAAAGCGGGGTGGGTGGTTTGAAGAAGAAGAAGAATGGGGTTGGTGGGACCATTACTTTTTTTTTAAAAGCGCTTTCAAAAAAATTTCTTTTCTTTTTTTGCCACGTCATCCGTTAGGATGGTATTAAATTCACGCGAAATGAAATAAGGGGGGTAAATAATTACCCGTAAAGTTTAAGTACTAAAATAAATTTTCGTGCCAAATTCAGGGGGGTTTTATGTATTTTCCCGAAAAAGTATGTAATTTTATGAGATTTTTATTGTTGAGATTGCATAAATTAAACTTAAAATAGACTAATCTGATCTTTAGTTTTGGGGTTCAATACATGACCTTATGTCTAGTGTGAGATAAGTTATTTAAAATTAAAATCATATTCATACCTAACTTGAGAAATATTATGAAACGAGAACATATACTTACGAAGTTATGCCTCATGAAATCTTTTTGCTACAACAGACATAAATTAAAGACCAACACAAAATAAGATAAAATTATCTATACAGAACTTATTTTTTTATATTCTCTAAAATTTCTTACCATTTGAAAAAAATACAAAAATTTCTAGTCTCTTCTATTTTCTGATACATCACTTTACGCGATATATCGGTAGATACATCACTTTATGTAAGTGATGTATAGGTCGGATACATCACATTACGTAATGTATCAAGACGTGGAGTGATGTATCCAAAACTGAGACGTGATGTATCTGTAACGACCTATTTCTGTCGTTATAGAAATACCAACGGGGGAAAATTTGGAGCCGGAAAACTTTTTTGTAGTATTTGGAATTTCCCAACCTAGTCCAGATTTGGACGAAATCGGAATCCTTGAGGTGTAGGGAAATCTGGTAATAATCGGGTGAATCATTTATGATTTTTATTGCATAAGTAGTTAGATAACTCGTTGAGAAATCCGTACAATTTTACGGAATTGAATTCGGGTGAGTAGAACTCTCAGAATCGATCTTAGCGTAAAGGGTATTTTCTGAGCGTCGTGGGTTAGAGGTGTGTTGTGAAATGGAGATTTTGAAATTCTTTAAATAACTCACTAGTTCGTGCAAACCGCCTTGGTGGGGGTTTTGGCCGCTCTAGCAGGGACGCTACAACGGGATTAGGGCCGCTGTGGTGGGCTCGACGCGACTTAAGGTCGTTAATAAACCCCTAAACGACCTTATTATGCACTTTTCGACTTTTAGAGCTAAGGAATGAACCCAGGCGACTCCTACTCATTTTTCACCATTCTTGAGGCTAAATGTAAGCTTTTCTCTCCCCGAATCTGTTTTTCGATCCGTAGAATGTAATAAAATGGGTGAATATTGATGAGGGAAGGTTTTGTTATAGATTCTATGGTGGAAACAACCCTAAATTGGACAATTGGGATCATGTGTAAGATCTAGGGTTCATAGAATTGTTAGTAATTAGGGTAATTAGTGGTTGTTTATTGATTCCCGTATTAAATTGATTGTTTGTAGACCAAGAACAAGGGAAACGAATCCAGAAAGGGAAGGATCAAGTTTCTTAGGGTTTCAAGCTTGTTTCGAGGTAGGTGATGGTTGTGATTCTATGATTGTGTGATGTATATTTGTTCTTGCTTCATTATGATTCTTGTATATGTATGAATGTTGCAATGTTGATCACACTTGTTGTAAATGAGATAGAGGAATGATGATTGCCATGAAATCATGACTTAAATGTATGATATTAATGATATATTTGTGATTGTGATTGTGGTGTGTTTAATGGATCGGTTGTCACGTTCTGGCATAACTATGTGATCGATTGTCATGTTCTGGCATAATTATGGGATTAGATACCACATTCCGGTATACTAACTGTTTGGGTTTGGGTTCAATAGAGGACCAATGATTTGATATAAAATGTGAAGTTGTTCGTTGTTCGTAAATGTTGATAATAGTGTATATGTTGATATATATGCATGTGATTATAATGTTGTCTTGACTTGCTTATGTTGCACTTAGTGGGATAATCGCGTGATCCTACCAGTACACTGTGGTTGTGTACTGATACTGCACTTGCTCTTATTTTTGTTGAGTATAGGGCATCTTCAAGCGGCTACTGACACACCTCGCTTAGGAGATCAGTAATCGTTCGAATTCAAGGGTGAGCCAATTCTTCCGGGCTGCCATGGGTTCTCTTTTGTCTATGTCCACCATTTCCGAACTTAGACTATGTTTTAGTTAGTTGATTAGTTCATTAGATTGGGGTTGCATCCCTTCTTGTTTAGACTTGGTTCATTGTTAGATGTTTTGGTACATTACTTTCAGGTTTTAGGTTATTTCCACATTGTTTAGTTCTTGTTAGACTTTTGTTGGAGTTTATGGGAACTCCCTATTTATTTCCTTAGTATTTAACTTGCTTCCGTAACTTAAATGTCTTTGTTTTGTTTTAGTTGCTTGGTTTGGGTTGTAATAGTAGTTCTCCCACCGGAAAGTTAGTGTGGGTGCCAATCACGACGGTCTGGGTCGTGACAGTATCAGATGTATCTAAAATTGAAACGTGGACATTTTGGGATGTATCCGAATTCCATCAAATTT